TTCGCCGCAGGTCCGTTCTCCGAGCCAGAAGAAGCATCTGAGTCGCACCTGAGGAGGAGGAGGAGGAGGAGGAGGAGGAGCAGAGTGACCAGGACTCAGACTCAGGTTCTAAAACATCATCATCATTTCACCTGATCAGTGTGAGGTCACTGTGATGTTGACCTTTGACCTTAAACCACCAACGTCTCATCAGTTCATCCTTGAGTCCGAATGAATGTTTTTGCTAAATGTGAAGACTGAGACATCGTGTCCACGAGAACGAGACGACAGACGGACCGCCCAGAAACAATATGGCTGCCGCCCTGACGCCGACGAGGAGGAACAAAAACAACCTGGAAACTATTTAATGATTTTATAGAAAATGGAGCCGAAGGAGGAAAACTCATGTTCATGTTGTTTATCTTTCCTTCATGTGGATTCTGGTTTTAAACTCACGGGAGAGAGAGAACGAGCATCGGTTTGTTTTTGTTGGGGGTGGGGGTGGGGGGGGGTGTATAAGAATGCTAATTGTGTAAAATAGAACTCGGTAAAAACATTGTTGGTCGTTGCAGTAAAAGTACAAACACAGATGAAAATACTTCATATACTCATGTACCAGCAGAAGAACCTGGACTGACTTCAGTTCTACCTTCAGCTCTGTTTCCAAATCATCTGTTCACTGAGTCTGAACCAAACAAGCAACAAATTAGCTCCGTCTTCACATCCCATAATGAACAGTGTGTGGCGTGTCGGGGGGGCGGGCGGCGGCGGCGGAGGGTTCCTGGGTTGGAGAGGAGGAGACGTGGCCTGCAGGTCAGACCGTGGCCACGTCCCGCTGCAGATCCTCCGCTTTCAGAAGCAAAGAAAGTGAAACAGCCTCTGACTGAAACAGTTAAACCCCGGCAGTGAAAGGAGGCTTTGTCTGCGGGGGGAGCATGTGATCCCGTCCCTCACAAAAGCTTCCCCGCCTTCGCTCCTCCGTCGCTCGGCAGGCGAGGGTTACTGAACCAAAAAATGTAAATAAAAGAGGCGGGGGGGGGGGACTTCCAGGGCTGCCATTCAAACAGCCAGCTCCGTGATGGAGTGGAGTTACCATGGCAACTGCAGGTCAGCCCAACACCACCTGGAGTCGCTGGGAGCGTCCGGGGACGGCGGCGGCGACGAGGAGTCGGACGATGTCAGACTTGTTAAAGGACGGAGAAGTGGCGGAGGTTTGGTTGCAGGCTCAAGCTGCTGCTTCCTCTTCACACACTAATGAATTCAGTCTGGCAGTTCGGCTGGATTCTTGTAAACGGTTACACAAGAGGCTTTTTCTGTTTTCTCTCCGAAATAAAAGATAATCTCCAAACGTCGACGTCGCCCAGGAAATATTTGGATCTTTGTTCTGGTTTCACTCCAGTTTCCTCTGAAGGGATTTCATGTGCTTCACTTTCTGCTTCCACGTTTTACAGACGATGATTTATCAGAGTCCTCGGACGCTCGGACGCTCGGACAGCGGCTGGACGATACGGCCTCAAACAATAACGAGACGCTTCACAGTATTTTTACTTTTTTTTTTTTTTTTTTTTAAAGTATATTTTTTTGGGCTTTTTATGCCTTTATTAGATAATATAGTAGAGAGACAGGAAATGGGGAGGAGAGAGGGGGAATGACATGCAGCAAAGGGCCGTCTGATGCGGGACTCGAGCCGGGGCCGACTGCAGCGAGGACTGTAGCCTCTACACACAGGGCGCCTGCTTAGACCAACACGCCACACGACGCCCCTGTATTTTTACATTTTTGACGCAGTGAAGACTCAGACCTGCTGACGTTGACCCGGCAGCTCGGCCCGGCCGCTCGGCCCGGCAGCGTCCGTCTGACGCTCTCGTCTGACTCCGACCGACTCGGCCGTTTCCAACACTTTTCAAAACATGTGAAATCTGAGATCTGTGTTTGAAATGAGCCGCTGTCAGCTGACACTCCGAGACTCCGGCCTCCGTTCTTAAAACTACAGACATTAAAAAGTTTTACACCCTGAGAAATAAATGTGGAGCTTCAGGACTTTGAAGGGGGGGGGGGGGCTCACCGTCTCTGCAGGTCTTCCCGTCCTCCAGCAGCTGGACTCCGGTGGGACAGGCACACTGATAGAAGGGCTTCACCGGAGAGAGGAGGCAGAGGTGGGAACATCCTCCGTTCCTCACAGAACACGGACTGTTCACTGAGAACGACACAGACACAACAGCACTGAAGGAGGAAGAACCACTGACCGTCTTTACGTCTTCATCAAGGAAGTTCCTGTTTTTAAATGACGCAGGTCAGAGACAGACACACTGGCACCAGGCAGATATCTGATGTTATTAACATGACTGATCAATTATCAGGAAGGTCGGTGACTCATTATCTGTTGACTGATTGATTGGTTTATTGACTCATCATCCATTCTGATACTAAGGCAGATACGACATCTGTTTCTGAACCAATACCAAAATAATGTTTTTAAATTTAAGAAATAAAAAACCTTTTTATCTTCTAATAAAAGAAGCTGAAGATCTGAAATGTCATAAAATATTTTCAAACTTGTTCAGTTAAATCAGGAACTGTCTGATTATTGATTCATCTCCAATATTCTTGATAAATCTCAACGTATTGTTCTGCCTAAATAAAAGCTGGTGTTTTAAATGTTTTGTTGATTTTCATTTCAAAGAAAAGTCAGAAAATGTGAAAATACTTATATCTGAAAATCTGGAAAACAGAAAATCAATCAATTAATCGACTAATCATTTCACCTCTAAACAGGATGATGAATGTGACACGTCTCTGAGGCGATCAAACGATCAATATTCCAATAACCGGCACCAGAAATGTCCTCAATAAGAAGATTAGAAACTTTAATATAATGAGTTAAAAGGCTCGATAACGAACCAATCACACATCAGGCCTAACGACCCTGACCCCCAGAGGTCAGAGGTCAGCTGGACTCACAGTTGGGTTGTCTCTTGGAGCTGAAGACGTGGATGTCCATCGGGGAGAAGATGTCAGAGTGGACGACTCTCTGCTCGCCGCCGGTCTGTTTCCTGCAGGAGTGGATGGAGTGGGTGTTCCAGTCGGTCCAGAACAGCGTGTCCTCATACAGGGTGAGGGCGAAGGGGTGAGGCAGCTCTCCCTTCACCACCACCTCCCTGAACACACACACACACACACACACACACACACGGTCAGGTCTGGATCCTGCCTTTGACACCTGAACGCAGCATCAGTTCGTCTGTATTTAAAATGAGACACAGCGAAAGCCCCTCCCCCGGCGGTGGTGGTGTGCGTACCTGGAGGACCCGTCCAGGTTGGAGCGGTGGATGAAGTTGTGCTTGGCGTCGGCCCAGTACAGTTTCTGCTGGCTGTAGTCCAGCGTCAGCCCGTTGGGCCAGTAGATGTCCTTATCAATGATCATCGATCGATTGGTCCCGTCCATCCCCGCGCGCTCGATCTTCGGGACCTCGCCCCAGTCGGTCCAGTACATGTACCTGAGAGAACCCGGAGAACAAGAACGTTAGAGGAGCAGCAGGACTACAGGTCCGTCAGTGGAGGGAAGTTTAAGTGATTGAACCTGAATAATAAACATATCAATAACAGGAGATCAGCTGGTCGTGATGAAGCTGCTGTCACATGATCAGCATCAGCGCTGTGAAGCCATTTATTCTCCCACATGTGGAGGGAGGACAAACGGCGAGTGAGTCGCTCCTTGGCTTGCATCTGCTCTCGTGCCGGTTGCCTAGCAACAGCTGCATCAGTAAATGTACATCCCTCCACTCGAGACTCGACTCGCTCCGTCTGTCCTCTGCAGGGATCACACTCTGGTAGAGGTGGATCAGGTGTGTTACCTGCTGAGCATGCTGCCCCCTGATTGGTTCAGATGTATTCTGTAATGCAGCCTTTCTATTGGTCCACAAACAACAACAACAACCTCCAACAGTGGAAAACATTTAGTGAACGCAGCCTGACAGTTTCAGCCATGATTTCACTAAGTTAAAAACTACATCACATTATAAACAGTGTTTCCTGTTTCCTGTGACATCACCATCAACTGGTTTCCTCTCAACACCCGGATGATAATCAGCTGTGTGTGTGTGTGTGTGTGTGTGTGTGTGTGTGTGTGGGAGTGTGTGTGTGTGTGTGTGGGAGGAGGGGGGTGACTGCTGTTCAGCTAATTCTCCTCTT